AAATAATAACAAACATGTCATGCTTACCTGCTCTGTGTAGTGGTTTTGCATAGAGCAGCCCGGACCCTCCTCTTCTCGGGTCCCCCACTGGCGCTCCTGGTCCCTCCCTCCTGTTGGGTGCTCCCACAGAAAGCAGGTTGCTATGGGGGGCACCCGATGCTCTGTGTGTTCATTCACATACGGAGCCATGGCATGGCCCCGTCCCCTCTCTCTTCTCATTGGCTCACTGGCTGTGATTGACACTGGTTCCAGCTTCTGTCTCAGCCAGTGAGGAGAGGGTGTCCTGGGATAGCTAAGACTCCAATGCACATCGCAGGATTGAGAGGTGGCTTAGGTAAGTATTCGGGGGGACCTGGGGAGTATGCTTCACACAGAAGGTTTTTTACCTTTATGCATAGAATGCATGAAGGTAAAAAACCTTGAGTCTTTAGTCCCATTTTAAAGGACAAAATCAGTACTAAGAAAAAATCCTGTCATGCTGTTGAGAATGTCCGGGTCTTCTGCAATGTGCATGGACCCTCATGTGATAGTACAAAGTGCGGTCTGCCCTGCTTTCCCCTACTCTTTTGCATGTAACAATAATGGTTTTTGCACAGTGAATTCCCCCTCAGCAACATGCTGCTCATTGGTCTAAATTGGCAGTTTTTGCTCGTGCACCTTTTCTGTGCCTTTATAAAGCCGAATTCCCCCTCATGCTGCCAGCCACCTGAAGAGAACCTGTCTGCACTCTGTTGTGCTGCTCGTCAACTCACTGTAACATGGATTTCTCTCTCTCTCCTTGAGAATTTGGACAGCTCCATAGAAGAGGAGTGGCTCGGGAAATGCTTATGTGAAGACACACCTGCTGCTGCTTCTCATCCTGCCTCTGCCTAAGCACAACCTACCAGTTCCTATGGAGGAGTCTGTGAACACTGAAGCTGCTGGCAGCTCCAGCCCACTAGTGTTGGGCTAGATCAGGCATGTCCAAAGTCCGGCCCGCGGGCCATTTACGGCCCGAGGGTCGGTTTAATACGGCCCTCCATGTCAGTGTGTCAGTGTGTCTTATGGAGCGAATATAGAGCGGCCGGTCCGGTATTTCCACCGCGGCCGTGTCAGAATACCGGGCCGGCCCCTCAGCTCTGCAGCGGGATCTTACCTGTTCCTCTATCCAGCGGCGCGCTGTCTTCCCGGCTTCTGTAGTGTGGGCGCTGGGCATGACAGCCGGGTGCCAAGTGCGCATGCGCAAGAAGCGGTGCTTTTTGTGAATGGTAAGGTGGTACCTGGGACACATGACAGATCCCAGAAGCCGCCGGACCAATCACAAAGCGCAAGTGCTTCTCGCTCATGCGCACTGGGCACCCGGCTGTCATGCCGAGCGCCATTACAGAATCCGGGAAGACAGCGCGCGGCTGGATCGAGGAACAGGTAAGATCAAAGAACAACTGCGGAAGTAAGAGCGGGTACCTGTCAAATTCAGGTACCCGCTCCCCACCTCCCCAAAGGTCAGCAGTCATCTGTACTGTCCGCAGTCTCTGGTCATCCCTGTGCTGTCCGCAGTCTCTGGTCATCCTCTGTGCTGTCAGTCTCTGTGTCATCCCTGTCCGCAGTCTCTGGTCATCCCTGTGCTGTCCGCAGTCTCTGGTCATCCCTGTGCTGTCCGCAGTCTCTGGTCATCTCCTGTACTATGTCTGCAGTCTCTGGTCATCCCTGTGCTGTCCGCAGTCTCTGGTCATCCCTGTGCTGTCCGCAGTCTCTGGTCATCCCTGTGCTGTCCGCAGTCTCTGGTCATCCCTGTGCTGTCCGCAGTCTCTGGTCATCCCTGTGCTGTCCGCAGTCTCTGGTCATCTCCTGTACTGTGTCTGCAGTCCATTAGTTCAGAATTTTTTTTTTTCCTGTTTTCTGCCTCTAAAACCTAGGTGCGTCTTATGGTCAGGTGCGTCTTATACGGCGAAAAATACGGTAACTTGGCATAAAATAATTTATTTGCATTTAATTGTAATGGTTCAAAGAATGTTTGGAAAAATGTTCGGCCCTCCACCATGTTCACTTCATCCAATCTGGCCCTCTTTGAAAAAAGTTTGGACACCCTGGGCTAGATGTTCAAGACGAACATAAGTTCAACTTGAACGTCGGCCATTCGTGTGTTCAGTGAACACACTAACGGTAAAATGTCCCCCCGAAGTGGATCCAACAACAATCACGATGTCCACTGCCGACCCAAAAAAAAACAACAAAAATGCTCCTCTCTCAATGCTGGCTCCCACCATCTAACAGTTGTGCCCTCCCCCTTGTGACCTGACAGTGCATTGTGACTGACCAAAGCAATGCCCCTGAACACATTTTTTTTTTTTTAATAAATGAATAAATTTTTTTTTTTAATAAATTAGTGAATGAGTAGCAGTACCATGTACCCCATACTCATTCACATGGGGGGGGGGGGGGGTCGGGATATGGGGCCCCTTTGTTAAAATAGGCTTCCAGATTCCAGCCCCTTGCCAGCAGACGCCCACAACCATCAGCCACGGTTGTGAGGAAGAGGCCCTTGCCCTCATTAACCTGCTCCAAAGCACCCCCCCAAGTTGAGGGCATGTGGCCTGGTATGGTACAGGAGGGGGGAGCTTGCTTGTCCCCCCCTTTCCTGACCTGCCGGGCTTCATGTTCAGATAAGGGTCTGTTATGGCTTTTGGGGGGGACCCTCACGTCATTTAACAAAAAAATTTTCATGGGGGTTCTCCTCAAAATCCATACCAGACCTGGCATCGCTGCATCTTCGGAAGGGCCCAGTGACACTTCAGAACCCCCACCTGGTGAGAACTCTATCTTCTTGATGACTTAAGATTTGTTTTGAATTCCTTAGCCAATACTTTTATGTATTTTTAAGAGGGGAATTAGGGAGCACATATTATTATGTTCTAAAGGATAATACACTATAATACGTCCTCTTTGGAGGTATTCTTCACGAAGGGATGGACGCATTTGGAGGATTAGGAGTTGTGGAATTTTGCTGATGGAATGTGTTATAAGGCTATGCACAAGTATATATAGGGTAAGAGTGTATATTACATCTATATAGAAGTGGACACTTGGTGGAGTTTTGAACACATTTACACTGAGTTTGATTATTTATTTTTAATGTTAGTAAAATAGGGATAACGCACTATGTATAGTTTTTCTTTTTAAGGTACACGTAGATGATGGAGTGATTATATGAAGGTGGACTAATTAGAAGCACACATTTTTATTAGTAATTTAAGGATTTCACAGACGAAAAAGAACCGTTTTGATTGTAGAACAGTAGAGGTCCTTCTTTCCAGCTCCCAACCTGTAGGTAGACCCCCCCTCCTCTGGGCCCCCTCCCAGGTTCCTCACCAGCAGCCCTTCCTTACTCCATTATCCACCCGACTCCCCTGCTGACCAGGCTCCATCATATTTAAGGACTGACCAAGCCATCATGCCAGGCCCCCTGCTTGGGGTTTGGCCAAATTCCCCTAAGTATGCACATCAGCTTCTCCTCATCCCTGCCTACTGGCTTCTAGAAACTTCTCCAAGTCTCCAGAGCAGGGGGAGGTATCAGAGAACTGAGCTGTAGAGCCCTCCAGCTTTAACCCAAAGGAACCTTTCTGACTCTTTTATATATTCCCTCTTTGGGTATGTACCAGTAGCCAAAAGCTTTATTTATGTGTGCATGTGGTGTTTATCCATATGTGTTTTTGCTTTAGACCATTTTTCTTCCTCCTGATGAAGGCTCATTAACAGCTGAAACGCATTGAGGTTTCAAGGTCTCAAAATCTATCTGGAAACTTCCCAATGGATGGAACGCACCACTAATCTATGTAGTTACAATTTAGCGCAAACTGGTCCAGTATAAGTGTCATGTATAATTTTTAATTGTGTTCAATAAATGATGTATTTTTTTTACCTTAATGGTGTTGTTGGTTGGTACCTAGAGAGTCCCACCCTTTTTCTCTTCCTTTCTCTTTAGCAAAACCTTGCTGACTCACACCCCGTCTGACTCAGATACAGGCTTCTAGCAACCCTCTAACTATACACAAAAAAATTATCTACACTGGGCGTTACATTTATAAGTGGTTATGATTTTGTGTACAGTACTTTACTGTACAGAGCACGGTAGTTCAGTATCATTATTTGTGTGAAAAGTAATATAAACCTATTACAATTCAGCACTAAATAGCAGATTGTGTTAGTTGGGTACCTAGGCTAACTTTGTTGGACTTACAAATGAGTTCTGTCCTGAGAGCATGTTCATAAGTCCAGTTTGTAAGTCCTACTGTAGTCTAGTATGGCAAGTTTATTGCTCAGCCCATACACAATGCGGAAAGAATGATGTTCTTTCCCTGACAGTCCAGAAGTTGGATTTGCTTAGTGCAATGGGAGAATTATACTTCATTGGGAATTGAACTTAGGCTAGAATGCAAGCAGGTATAATACTGCTGTCAACAAGAATACAAAGAGCTATAAGAGAAAGTTCCATGGCTTGACTATTCTTTGTCTCTTATTCTACTGAGGCACAAACAAAATGTACAGCAAATATTTCCTTGGAAGCCTATGGATATTAAAGACTCTCTAAAACTGGAATAAGGTAACAAGGTCAGAGGTATATAATATTTATAGCGCATATTATTTCCCTGGACTGCCTTACTATATTAAATTTATCATAAAGCTAAAGCTAGGTTACTAGACAGGATGAAGTCTATTTTTATTCTGAAATGTAACAGCCCAATAAAGCACTACTACAGAGCATTTTCTAACCTTCTTACAGGCACACTCCCTAAATGAATTATCCACAAGACTTTCCAGATCTGTGTCCAGGTTATTGTAAACCAAATGAATGTATGTACAGTATGCATACTGTATATATAATGTTTGGGGGTTTTAAATATTTTTTTAGCAAAGAATGCAGATTTTTAACGTGTTCGAAAAAATAAAAAAATGTTATGAAAGACACTCTCAAGCTATGGTAATAAATGTGCATTAAACACTGATTGGCATTTAAAGTGTTACTAAACCAACAACAGTAAAATATGTCTCTGCATGCAGTAAAGCATGCTTGTTATGCTCACTTTGGAACATAAGGGGTTAATCCTCTGCATTGTGTAAAAACGATGCTTGATCCTGTTTTCTCTGATCCTTCCCTTCTTTCACAGTCTCCAATCCATCTGCTGATAGGACAGAGCCTTGGGGGCCAAGTTGCACATGCTTAGTTTGGTGTGTACTGCTTGAGAGTTTTTTTTTTTCTTGGGAGAGTGCATGTGATTAGCACTGGGCCAACCAGCGCTGTCCACAAAGAGGGACAAGGGTCCTGCAGCCTCATCAGACAATCAGGAGAGAATGAAAACTCCTCCTACAAGCTTTAACAGTGCTCTGTTGGACACTGATAGAAGTCACAAGACTGCTCTAACTGCTGATGAGAAAAGGTATTTAGTAGTTTATATTTACCAAAATAATTGCATTTCCATGTTCTGTGTACTTTGCGAGACCAGATATAGCAAATGCAGGGTCCTGCATTGATGATATCTTTCTTCTCTGGCGAGGCAGTGAGGAAGCATTACACAGTTTCTTCGTTACTCTACATAATAATAACCTTAATATAAAATTGACGTATATGTATGATCGCAGGGTAATTAGCTTTCTGGACCTGACTCTAATTAATGATGGTACCAAGATTGTCACCAAGTCTTTTTTCAAATCTACAGATAGGAACAGCTACATTCCTATAGACAGCTGTCATCACCCTCTCTGGCTTTGAAATATCCCTAAAGGTCAGTTTTTAAGAATACGGAGGAATTGTGATAACTTAGATGATTTCTACTCTCTCAGGCGGAAATCCTCAGAGGTAGATTTTTAGAGTGGATACAATCAACCGATTTTGGAGGCAGCCAACACTGACAGATCATCTCTATTAATGGGTGTGAAGGAGAATAGGCTTAAAAAAATCTGCCCCTTCATCACTAATTTCTCCACTCAGCACAGAGAAATAGAGAAAATCTTTAACAGGAACTGGAGAGTCCTTAAGGATGACCCTGCTTTGGCAGGTTTTTTATCTGACAGGCCAGAAGTAAACTTTCGACGGGCACCCCTTTTAAGATATAAGGTAGCTCCCAATATAGTGGATCTAAAGAGATCACATTTTTCTCTGGGTTACAATGTTTCTTTCCCTGTTAAAGTTTGTGGGGATAGATATCATTCGCCCCCATTGGAGGGGTAATAATAAATGTAGGGCAGTGTCTATGTTTGAGACTAAATGGATTTATGAAATGCGTACTTTATTTCCCTTAGGGCATAACATTGACATAGATATCAGCTGCTTTATTGATAACAGTTGATATACATGTCTTGTTCCATCTAGCCTGGGAGGGCTTTTTTAACTGGCTTCATACCGGTATTTGAATGGCATTGGGAGTTTTTTCATATGGGTCTATCCATGTCACATCACTCATCATGATGCATGTGTCTGGATGGTATATACACAGTTTTCAACTGAAAACCTTGTCCATTATTTGGATTTTGTCTTTATATATTTTTTAGTATTTTAGTTATTACAGATTGTTTTAATTTTTTTCATATTGCTTTCATTTCATCACAACTTTGCTGGATTAATTTTTTATTTAATGTATATGTATGTTTTGCATTTCTATATGTTTGCAGGGTTTTGCGACTGTTTTTTGATAATTTCATTGACATTTGCAGTGTCCTGTAAAATATTGGTCACTATTATACATTTAATTAATTTATTGCTTGTATTATCTTAGGAAACATCGGTCATTCATCATCCAATTGACGTTTGATAATCCCAATACAGTAATATTAATATTTTTTACTACAATTTTACTTATAATGGTTACTTTTTTGATCCGGAACAAGGATGTGATGCTTGGTTTTCAGTAAAATGGTGCTTGTCCGTCCAGGGCTATTTAAATTGTGCAATGTGATAGCGTCAGTGGGAGGCAGGTCCCTTTGAGAACGTGCGTGTACACGAAACATGTCAGGGAGGAGCCTACGAGCTAACGGTCCGCCGCCGAGTCCATGTGATGGTCCAGTGGCCATCTTTGTGAGTGATTGTTGATTGTTTTCATGCTCCACGTAGATGCCTTGTATTTTTATTGAATAAAATACTACACTATATACCACTGTCTCTGGGTTCTGGTATTTGAGCTCTTTTCAGGATTTGCTACTTTCTGAATTGATCGCTGCTCAGTGTATGGGAGCTGTGAGATCCACCTTAAGGAATGCCCATATAGAGCCCAGCCGCAGTGGATGTTATTTGGCCATATACTTACTTCCTGCAGTGGAAAGGTTACATCTCTTGGAGGGATTTCTGTACAGAGCCTGTTTATTTCTTGCTTCTGGTGAGTGCATAGTGGTGGAGGATTGTCACAGATGTACCCTTCACAGATGTCACCTTACACTGTTGACCACCGTTGTCAGTATTACTCTCTAGTGATCACATACCAGTTTATACTTTTTGTTCTATAAGTTTTCCATAAAAGCTTAGTCCCTTCCAACTTTTTAAACCTCCTTTTTGGCCTGTCAAGGTGAAGTCTGGACTTGATAACAGGAACAACCACAAGGTGGAATTTTGCTGCTGTAGATCTTTGTTTACTGATCATTTCAACATATTGTTTTCACTAAAGATAACCAGTGATCAATATTAATTCCTAAAATCTGTCAGTGTTTTTTCAATTGTAATTTCAGTGAAACCTCTTATTTAGTTGACACCAGGCTGTTGCGGTAATGCACGCTAATGCAAAGTATGTGCATTGCAGTGCCATTCATTGTAAATGACACCCCGAAATGCATCTGTACACTGAAAAAAAATGTCATAACCCCCTTTATTCTTGTTTGAAGCACATTGCGACCTATTAATTATGAATGGGCTGGGTAACAATGTATGCAGCAGGGTGCCTCAAACCATAAACACAATGCAATGTGGTACAGGATGCAGTGGTGTGAAATTGTTAATTCTGATACATTGTATTAACACAGGTGCAAAGACATGTAGAATGAGTTATGGTAACACACTGTAAATAAGCCCTAAAACAAATGCAAAGAGCCATGAATGGTTGGAACCTCTATTAGGTTCTTATTGCTGTCTTTTTCCCTTATTGGAGACATTTTCCAGTTGCAGAAACATGAGAGAAAATGAGTGGAAATGTTTTCAAAGTTATGGGAAATCCCTCCCTTGTTAGTGGTTACCAGAACTCTTGTCCCAGTTGGAAGGTAGACATGTGCATGCCGGAAATGTTCATTTTAGATGCATTTGTTCATTGAAGAATTGTGTTTCATCATATTTGTTATGCTGAACCGATTCATTTCATACCTTCGGCATATGTTGTGTATATTCATTGGTCCGGGTGGATTCAAAAAATGTTGGAGTTTTTCTGAAAGATTGCTACATATTCAATATACTATGGTTCAAATCAGTGGTTTCGATATTTTCAGATGCTAGTCCAACCCAACAAGAGAAATGGCATGAGTTGATTGGTCAGTATCGACTAACGTCACGTGCATTCAAATTAACGAATAGAACGTAATTCGGATCCATTTGTTTTCCGAATCTGAACTATTGAACAAATTTGAAAATGTAATTAATTTCCCCATGGGCCTGAAATACTATCGTATCTTGTGACTTCATCCGAATGAAACAAATGCATATGTTAATTTCATTGTAACATTTTTTTGGATTTGTTGACATTCGTTACTGTGTCTATTCGGAAATTCGTATGCATCTGAATCTCTGAAAATAACATTTTCATTTGAAGAATGCATCAAAACTAAATGCACATGTGTTATTGGAAGGGTTCTCCTAACCTTCTGCACCAATGACTGGATTATGTTGTGTTCCTCTTATTTTCTGTCCAACTGACAATGGTCACCAAGCCAAATAATGTTAATAAATCTGCTCAGTGGCAAATGTAGGCCCTATAGAAGGTCAAGGAGCAAAGTCTAAGGAACCACTCAGTGTTCAACAAGAGCACCCCACAAGGGATGATGAGCTTTGCTGCAAACAGCTCCCAGGTTACGGCCCTCGGTCCAGGAGCAGTTCTCACACGGAACCAGCATGAGAAATATGATAATGTCTAAACACACTGATTGAAAAAGACCTACAGCGTTTTTCTTCAGAGTTCAAAAGCTGTTGCACCGATAAAAAGAAATCAAGCCAAATGCGATACAGCAGAATGATCCTGCAGAGACCTAGTGGCAACAGCTGCAGACAATGACACAGGCTGTCTTTGGAAACAGTCTTCCTTCAGTATTAGGAGATAAAATTAGCAGGCAAAACAGGAACTGTGTTACACCCTAAATAACCCAGCATTGCAAAAGAAATTTAAAGGTATGATTGTTTCCACCAAAGCGATAAGTTACAAATTGTATATACATATTCTGGGGACATGTTTACATACCCGGATTTAAACAGGTATCTATATATTGTAACATACATATAACTCTTTTTGTTCCTAACTATGAACTGTGAGTTGCTGAATTTAAATGATCTCAGCTTTGATAGTGACCCTCTTATATTATGTACTGACCAAGAATGCAAACGTAAATATGCATAAAGCACTTCTGCAATAAGTGGCTCCTTGAAAAATGGAAGTGCAGATGGGACAATTTAATTATTGTTATTATTCATTTTGTATGTTGGGCTCTTATTGAGTCAGTGCAGAAAATGTGAACTGCATAAGGATGCAGCTTTGACTGCATACATTTATGTGAGTTCTGAGAAATGAAATACAAAGCACATATTAATTGGCTCTACCTTGTTCTACTAATAGTGCTTATCCCCATAGCAGGACAATAGATGACTGATTCATAATCAAGCATTTTAACCTCCTGGCTACTTAGGAAGACACAATTGCAAACATCACTTAGTACAGAGCACAAGAAGTGCATGACCCAAAAAAAAACACCAAAACCTTGAAAACTCAGTTTGGGTAAAAAAATGCCAAAAATATAAACATAGACAAAGATTAAAAGTTATATTTTTCTCAGAGGCCGCATGAAGCTCACTCTGCAATGCTCATTTCATTGCCTTCCATGGGAAAATGAGTGCATACAGGGACCCAGCTATAAGACTAAGTGGTTCTCTTTCTCTGTTTTATATTCATTTTTTTTTTAATGAAAGGATTATAGTAATTTATAATATTTTCTGACATCCACAAAACACTACTCACTGAAGTAAAGTAAACACCAAGCAGCCTTTTCAGAAGACAGTTTTCAATAGCCTCTAAGGTGGGCATTCTTTCTCATTACATGAGTATGAAAACATGCCAACCACTTCCAGAAAAAAGAAGAGTGTTTAACCACTTGCC